AAGTCCCCCAATGAGATGGATTGGCACAGTGGCAGCAGTAGAGGGCTCAAACACAGCAACAACAGTAAGAGTGGCACAGGATTGGGCAGTGTTTTGTTCTGTGGTACTTAAGGTCGCTATGAGTCAGTACCAACTTGACGGCACCTAGCAACAAACACTATAAATGTGTTACCTCCATGAGATTGTCATCACATCTCATTTATCCAATAAACCTAACCATGATTGTTTAATAGATAAATATTACCTGAGTGCAACTGCTGGCACCTTTTAGATGTGGTCAGGGGAAGTCCCTGAGGAAGTACCGTTTCATGCTGAGTCCTGAAGTGTAATTGAGTACTGACCAGCAATAGTGTAGGGTTGGGGTTGGCAGATTTCAACAGTATGTAAGGAATAGTGGTAATTTTTCTTTCTCCTTCTTTTATAAAATAATTCCTAAGAGCTAGATATATAAAGATGAATATGACCTAGATCTGTCCTCAATATACTCAGAGTTCAGAATATAAATAATTATAACAATAATACGTTATGTAACTATTCCCTATTGCAAGACCATTGTGTAATGAGAGAATGAAGAATACCCTAAAAATATTCCAGCATGGTAGATTATATAGCTATATTAAACAAATGACTAAAAGAGTATGGTTAGCTCTTTTATAGAGTATGTATAAGATACTATGGTGAACCAATAAATTTGGTTTCCATATAAGTTTGAAGTTGTGTTCCATGCTTTTCCTTTTTTTGATAAAAATCCATTTATTGAGTTCTTGATAAAAATGTTCAACAGTGGTAGTCCTGGTGTGGCGCTGTGGATTAATGAGCTGGACTGCAAAGTAGGTTTGAATGGCAAGGTTGGCAGTTCAAGCTCACCAGCTGCTCCTTGACACCCTATACAGGGTAACTGTGGGTCGGAACCGACTTGACAGCGCTCAACAACAACAGTATAGTACTCTTATAAAGAGTTTTCTTTTATATCTTATATATATCTTATGTGTGTTATATATAAGAATTAAAATAATGTATGAGTTGTCTTATAAAGAATTATGAGTTTATATTGACAGTAACTCGTTCATCTAAAGTATAGATGAGAACTTTAAGGGACAGAGAGTCTAAACTAATGGCAATAAACTACTATGAGTATGGGTAGAGGCAGTGAGAATGTTGACAAAATGTGGACTGTAACCTGTGTTACTGAACTGTTCATATAGAGATTGTGAGTGGATGTATGTTTGGTTATGCCTGGTACTACTACTAAGTGCCGTCGAGTTGGCATCCGACTCAGTGACCCTGTACAGGGTTTTCGAGGAGCAGCTGCTGAGCTTGAACCACCAGCCTTTACAGTCCAAGTCAACTTTATAGTCCAGTGCATTAACCAACAGCACCACATCAGGACTCCTGGTTATGCATAATGCTACCAAAAATAAGATGTTTGTTGTTTTTTTATAAAAAGGGTCAAAAAATATTGAAGTTGCCAAAGACTTCATTTTACTTGAATCCACAATTAACATTCATGGAAGCAGCAGTCAAGAAATCAAATAATATATTTCATTAGGCAAGTTGGCTACAAAAGACTTCATTAAAATGTTAAAAGAGCAAAGATGTTAATTTGAAGACTAAGGTATGCCTGACCCAAGGCATGGTATTTTCAATAGCCTCATATACTTGTGTAAGTTGACCAATGAATAATGAAGACCTAAGAATTTATGCATTTGGAATATGGTGTTGGTGAAGAATATTGAAAGTACCACAGACTGCCAGAAGAATCTGTCTTGGAGGAAGTACAGCCAGAATGTTCTTTGGAAGCGAGGATAGTGAGACTTTGTTTCACATATTTTGGATATATTATCAGAAGGGACTTGTCCCTGGAAAAAGATGTCATGCTTGGCAAAGTAGAGACTTAGCAAAAAGGAAGAAGACCCCCAAGGAGATGGATTGACACATTGGCAGCAACAGTGGGCTCAAACATGATGTTGTGAAGATAGTACAAGACCAGACAGTGTTTCCTTCTATTGTGCAAAGGGTCACTATGAGGTGGAATAGACTTGATAGCACCTAACAACAGCGACGTACTTTGCCTAACTATTTTACTTTTGCATAATTGTACAATAGTTTTATTAGAGGAACCCTAGTTGTGCTCTGATTGAAGCTCTCAGATGCCAACTGAAAGTTTGGAGGTGTGAACCCACCAGTCACTCTGCAGGAAGAAGATGTGCCCGTCTGCATCTGTAAAGATTTATAATGTTGGAAGCGCTATAAAGCAGTCTTAAGGGTCCTGGTAGTGATGTAGGATAAGCACTGAATTGCTACCTGCAAGGTCCTCAGTTTAAACCCACCAACCGCTCCTCAGAAACCCTATCCTGGGTTGCTATGAACTTGACTAGATGGCAATTAACCACCGCCTAAGAGTCCTGGTGTGGCACTGTGGGTTATTGCGCTAGATTGCAAAGTCAGTTTGAACTGCAAGGTTGGTGGTTCAAGCTCACCAGTTTACTCCTTGGAAACTCTCTGCAGGGTCGCTATGGGTTGGAACTGACTCAACAACACTAACAACAACAACAACAAGATTGTTATAAATTGGAATCACTTCTATAGTAATGGATTTGATTTGTTTTTTACATATTAATAATTTGGAAAACACACATCTTCCAAATGTTGACATGTTTACTATGCAGTATTTAAAAAATCACATTCATTAATACCTCCACACTTCCATAGAAAAATCTTCTAAGTGTTGGGAAGTTGCCAGGTGCATGGTAGCAGATAAAGGTTTTCCAAAATTCTTGAAAGTTCACCATTTATTACAATAAATACTTATAGTTGTTTTCCTTAGAGTTAATTAATTTTACTCATTTTTTAAGAACATGTCTGCCAATTACCTGTGTGAATAACCATAAGTTTGTCTCCCTGGCTCTTTCAAGTAAAAGTAGTCTTCCATGAAAAAAGTGGTCAGTTCAGTTCACAGAAAACCACTGCTTTTACTACAGGATACGATCTTATTTAAGAGTCTTGGTAGCAAAGTGGTTAACTGCTTGCTGCTAACCAAAAGGTTGCTGATTCAAACCCACCAGCACTGTGCAGGATAAAGATGTGTAACCTGCATCTGTAAGGATTTGTGGCCTTGAAAACACTATGGGCAGTTCACCTCTGCCCTATGTGGTCACTATGATTCACAATGAACTTGATGGCAAAGAGTTTGATTTTGGTTATCATCGTGCTTAGGGAGTCCTTGGGTGGCTCAAATGGTTAAGTGATTGGCTACTTACTGGTTTGAATTTACCCAGAGGCCTCTCAGAAGTAGGACCCGTTGATCAGTTTCCAAAAAGATCACAACCACTGGAAACCCTGTGTAGCATAGTTATACTCTGAAGCCTATGAGGTCACCTGAGTCAGAATTGACTCCCTGGCAACTGGTTTGACTTTTTTGGTATGTGTAAATAGCTCTCATGATACCTTTAATTTATACTTGCTATGATCTTTACTCAAGGAGCTCTGGTAGCGTAGTGGTTATGAATCGGGCTGCGAACCTTAAGGTCAGCGGTTCGAAACTACCAGCCGCTCCGCGGGAGAAAGATGAGGCTTTCTACTCCCGTAAGGATTTACACCCTCGGAAACCCTGTACAGGGTCGCTATGGGTCGGAACCGACTTGATGGCACTTAACAACAACAATGATCTTTACTCAGGATCAGGCAGTGTTTCATTCTGCTGTGCATAATGTCACTATGAGTCGGTACTGACTCAGTGGCACCTAACAACAACAACAATGTGATCTTTAAATGAAATTTGCTTTGGTTTTACTGCAAGGTCATGGTGGTGAAGAATACAGTGACTACTTAGTACAGTGTTTCACTGACTTGACTCATGTTACAGTACTAGCAGGTTTCCCCACCACTAATTTTGCACCATCAGTTCAATTTTTCAGGTCTGGTATTTGGGTAAGTGAGGCACCTTTGTACAGCATTAAAAGAAGCACTAATTCTCAGGATCACACAACTGAATTCAATTTAGCACAGTTAAAATAAAAGGGCAAATAAGATTTTGGTATTTCTTATAAAAAGAGTTGCTACTTTGCAACTCTTCCATAAATCATACTTTGAGAACTTTTGATGGAAATAAAGATTAAAGTATTTGTTCTGCAGGAGAAAGATGAGGTGTTCTGCTCCCGTAAAGATTTACAGCCTTGGAAACCCCATACAGGGTCACTATGAGTCGGAACCGACTCCCCGGTACTTACCAACAACATTTGCTATTTTTTTCTGCTTAGAAACTTTTGATACTTCTGATTGACTAAGAATAATATCTAGACTTCTTCAAATGATATATAAGCACCTTCATTAATCTCTAGTCTTTTTTTTCCCTTCTAACCTCATTTACAGCTCTCTCCCATCCCCTACTCTATACTTTATCTTCACCATGCTATGTGGTTTCTATGATACTTCCTCTGCTTAATATGTTCTTCATATACAACCATCCTCTCATCTTTTACAGTGAAGTTCAAATGTTACCTCCTTTCCTGATCCCCCAGAGTAAAGTTAATCATTTCCTTTTATTCTCTTGGAATAAAACATATCTTTACTGTAGCACTTAGCACATAGTTTGGGTTAGTTGCTTACGTAACTAATTCCCAGGCTCCTTTTAATTCAATTAAACATGTCAGTTTCAGATATTGTGCTGGGCTCCTGGAATTAAAAAAGAATGAACAAAGTTTTAAGAGATTATATTTTAAAGGGAGAAACTGAAAACCAAACAGATAATCATAATGTAATATGGTAAATGCAGTCATTGAATTGTGAGCCAAATGTTACAGAAACAGCAGAGATAAGGGACTGTCTACGTTAAGTTGCATGCTTGAGTGTCAGAGACCATCTATTATTTAATCATCTTTGTACCATGTGTGGCTGGTGCTGTGCTTAGCATACAATAGGTGCACAATAAATGTTGGTTAAATGAAGATTTAATTGTATTTCATTAAACTCTCATTTTCCCTTTTTTCCATCTTTTTTAGAATGCAAGGTGTGGAGAAATCCTCTAAACCTTTTCAGAGGAGCAGAATATAGGAGGTATTGCATTTTCCTTTCAGTATGATGAAGACATTGATCTTGAGTAAAACATAATACAAAAATTTGTTTTTGTAACTATATCGCATCACATACCATTGATGATACTGATAAATAATATGCAAACTGAGTAGCCCAATGTTTAATTGATAACATCTTGACTGTAAATGAGAAGCATCACTTAAAACCATATGTCTATGATATACAAAAAAAATATTTGACCCCTTGCTTATGCAGAAAGCCTTTTCAAATAATTCATGAGATTAAAAATATTATAGATATCAGCATATTCCTTTGCATGTATATGTAGTTTTTTAATTGATTTGAGAATTCATTAGAAAATATCACTTTGAATGTGAATATGAACTCATTTATGTATGGTGTTGCATTCATCGTCAAAAAGTACATATCCAGATCAGTCATGAGGTACAATGCTGTGATAGGATAATATCCATGCGCCTACAGGGAAGCCAAGTTAATACCACTATCATTCAAGTTTATGCACCAACCACTAAAGCCAGTGAGGATGAAATAGAAGAATTCTACTAACTTCTTCAATCT